GATAACAGGTCACAGTATTATTGTTGTTTGAATTCGTTGCGAACCCTTCGAACGAAACAATTAAAAACTGAAAATTAAACTTACGATAGCAAAATTTGTTCCCCGTAAATTGGCTAATTTCTTTCGACTGGCACGTAATCTTAACACGTTGATTTTAGAAGGTACTGAAAAGGGCGCAAATTCAAGAGACCAGGGTATGCGACCAAGGATCCAGATTTCCGGACTACCGGCAACTCCAATTAACCTACATTGTAATTATTAAATCGCTACGAAGTAAAAGAAACTGGTGCCGAGTCTAATCAAGCTGACTACCAGTGCAGGGTCAAAAGTTATGTCTATTGATTCTCGAAGCTCGCAGGAATGGAGGATCCAGACCATTGTTGGAGCCCAGCCATGCCTATCCAAACTAGAGGTTGGAGTGCAAGGGAACTAACCAGTTAATTTCATTTCCACTTACTTTCAAACACTATTTAATCTTTAAAAATCACAGAAAGAAAGAGTCCAGGTTATCAACATCGTTGCCGGAATTGTATCTATCTACTAGGTAGCTATGGAAGCAAGATCATTGAAGGCTAAAGGGGCTGACTAATTCAAAATGGAATACAGGAACTAAGATATTATAAAATGGTATTTTCACTAACTTTCATCTTCTATTTCTTGAATATTCCATTATAAATTAAATCAAATTAAGGATGCAAGATTTGTAGAGGCCAGCTATGCCTGTTTAGTGGAGGTAATAAAGTCCCTACCCTAAGTGGAGGCAATAAAGTCCCTACCCTAAGTGGAGGCAATAAAGTCCCCCGACACGAAGATACTATGAAAAGCCGCTTTCACTGACTTCCCGGACTTCCGGGACTTCCGGTTTACAAGAAGGATTCTGTCGAAGACGATGGTAGAGGCCACACAACTATACCTAATCGCTGGGTAGCCGGAGACCTAAAGACCGTTGGACCATCGGTCTCCCCGGGTCTGGAGCAGTTCCAGGCTCCTCGGGTCGACGCGTTACGTCACCGAGGCAGCTCCGAGGGAACGGTAACAATGCTAGATAGCCCAAGGTCGTCACTCACCCTGTAAGGCGACGGCTAGAAGGGCCACGAAGAGGCCCACGAAGAACGCGGGTCTCAGCCGCGAGCCCGTCATCTCGTTTCACTAGGCACTACACGATGAGAGCCAGGGCTGGCAGCTCGTCTCACTCGATAGTCGCCTTCGACTCCAACTCGCCCGCGAGGAACTGGCATTGTCACTACCGCCAAACCCCGACAGACGCCCCTCCTACTTCTTCACCCCACAGAAACGACGATGCACGCCGACTATACCGACACACGCGTTCCTCAAACCGAGCACACTAGTCCGTTCGCGTCGCTTTTTCAGCCTGTCTCCTCGGCACTCTGATCTCTGCTCCTCTGCTCTCTCTCTCTCTCTCTCTCTCTCTCTCTCTCTC